CTACATGTCGTTTATTTTTCAGGTTGCGTGCTGAACTTGTTTGTGTCTTATAAGGTCTGTATGGAGATGTCTCTGTAGCTCTGTCGTGCCCCCCCAGCCCCCGACAGACTCAACTAGACGTAAGGAAGAATCATCTATTCTTTTTAACGGTTTTATTTGAACTGCTTCGATAAATTAAGAAATAACTCCAAACCTAGGTTTCTATTTTTATGTTTCCTGATTTACTTTTTAAAATAAAATCATGCGAGGAGGCAGAAATCAAATCTTTTGTTTCCCTTTCTGACCAATCAATTTTAATCCAGTTTATAAACCAATTGTTTTACCTCGAGCGTTAATTTAAATTGTAGGGCAAACCATGATCTGATTGGCTGCTGGCTCGTCGTGATTGGTTGGTGGCAGGAAGCTTGGCTCCTGAAGACTCTACTGTGATTGGTCGGTTTCTTGTCATGTGACTTCATTGTCAGCCAGGTGGGGGCACGTTGGTTTTCCTTTTTTAAATGCTGCATTTCCCTTCTGATCAGATAAATCATGTGACCTCTGCTCACCTGTGCATTTCCTGTTTGACCTCTGACCTGCTTACAGCCATGTGACCTGTTGTCACAGAAACAGATCTGTGATCTGAAGATATTGATTTCTGACTATTGACTCATCTCGACAAACTGTCTTTCAACCAAAATGTCATGGTCTTCATCTGGGCGGGGTGTGCTCGGTTGTCATGGAGATGCCGTAGTCGTTAATTATGGGATGTCATTTGTGCTTTTTGTTGGACTAAAAAAAAAAGTTGAGAAAATAAACAGACTAATCAATAAGTAAAGACACACATGTCTCTTCCTGCCGTGATGGCCCGTTGCCACGGTAACCCTCCTGTTTGTTTTTAGTTGACTGGTGGAGCTGATAGTCATTTTTGTATTTTAATAAGAGAAGATGGTGTGTGTGTGTACGTGCATGCACGGCCGCCTGTCCCTTTTGTTGGTGCTGAGCCCCTCCCACTCCGTCAGGTGGAGAAGGAACTCCACCTGACGGAGGGGAGGCGCAGCGACACAGCTGGGACAAACGCCCCCGCCCCCCCAACCAAGTGAATTATTTGATGTAATTACTGATATTGGATTGTTATTTTCTGAGTTCCTTTGTTTTCATAAATAAAGACATAAACTGAAGCCTCTTTGACGCACTGGGTTTACTTTAATAAACAAGTCCCAATGCGTTTAATATTCATATACCTGTTGACAAAGAGCGAAAACCAACACACGACTTGGACAAGAACACTTCCTGATGCCGGGCAGGTGGAGGTACACAAGCTCCGCCTCCTGACCAATCACCTCAGGTCATGGATCAATCGATAACGTTACACAAATATAATACAACCGTGGTTGTTGACTCTTTGTAGCTCAGTCAAACTGCCCACACATTTCCCACAATGCCTAGCGGCTCTCTGGAAAAGGGGACCACCCTCTGAGACCAGAACCACCCGCTGCACCGATGTTCACAGCACATGAAACCAGTCGGTTCTGGTCTACATGACTGTGCAGATCCTGGATCGCCCCTCTTCCACCTCCAGGCCCGTCTTGTCCCGGACCAGAACCGCCTGGTTCCCGAAGCTGCTGTACCAGGCCGACTGGCTGCGGCTCAGGTAGGTGGAGGGGGGGGCGAACTGCACGTCCTGCTGCTGCTGCTGCCAGACCAGCAGGGACGTGTCCCTGTACCTCAGCCGGGAGAAGTCCTCCGACAGAGCCTTCTCTGCCAGGGGGGGGCGGACAGGACCTGGAGCGGGGGGGCCCTCTGCAGCTGGGTCACAGTCCGACATGTTGATACCGGCATGGGGACAGAAGTGGTCTGAAGAAGACCAGGTCCATCTCGGTGTGAAGAGTCTTACCTGTAGGCAGAAGAGTCTAAGCTCAAACCGTTTGGTTGTGTTCCTGGTTTCACTGGGTGAGATGACGTCATAATGAACACTTCAGTAAAGTAAATGAAAACACTCACAGCCCATCAGTCACCTCCGGATGTTAAGAGAAGCTAAGGGCGTTAGCCGCCTGCCAGCTAACAGATAATCCTGCTGCTAGCTCAGTTAGCTTCGATTAGCTCGTGAGATAAACACACTCGCTGACGTTCACAGACTTAGTGACGTCACTACATCGGCGTATACGCTGCTTCCCTTGGTGGCCCTTCTCTCGAGGTTTGTCGTTGTTAGTGGGCCGCCGCCATAGCAACGGTGTGTTTGTAAAGCTGGTCCGGACAGAAACACGCAGCCGAGTACCAAAGGGTCCTATGAGGAAGCGAAGTAGCATCAGCCGGTATTCACATTATTTAGTGTAGTGGGAGTTACGGTGGCCCTGACGTGCAGAACAAAAAGGGGAGGGCCTCATAGCAGGAAGCAGAGGACGGACCCTTCTCATTGGACAGACGAACTGTGTCTTTTAACTCTCTTTATCCGAAGCCTTTCGTCGACGACGGAAAGTGACATGAAGGATTCAAACTACCGTGACTCCTTAACTATTTGCACAATCGGATTCTGAAAGCTTAGAAATGCTGCTTTCTAGATATTCTGTCAATCAATAAATCAGTGGTAAGACTGAGAGGCTGTGATGAGGGAGGAAGTGACGCAGCAGGAAGTCACGGAGAGATGACGAGTGTTTCATCGTTTTACCGCTGTTTTGTTGTTCAATTATATTTAGGTGTAAACAAAAGTAAATAAAAGGGGGGGGGGGGGTACCGCGGACGCTACGCCGACACGGCTCGGGGACCGGAGTTCGATTCCTTGGCGTGAGGAGTTGGATGTGTGGCGGGAGAGCTCTGTATCATGTCCTGCTCCTGACAGTCCGTCTGTCCAATCACAGGGGTCCGTCTGCTATAAGGCCCTCCCCCTTCCGTAAGGAGTTAATGTCGTTGTGTTTTGCGCTTCAGTACTATCACCACACTGACAATGCAAATATGCTTTGCTTACTAATAAATGATGAACTCAATGAAATGTTTGATACGTTTAAAGTGAAAACAGATTCAGTTCAGACGGATGAAAGGATTTTATTTAACAGATTTAGACTTTGTTTTCTGTGGTTTCAGTTTGTTTTGCTGCTAAATAACGTCGGTTCATTTATCTGTTCATTCAGCGTTAGATGTTTTGAATCAATTATATGACTGAACTTGTGATGACACACATCAATAGATATCAATACATCAATAGAAGTATAACATCCATCAGCGTGCAGCAGGAGTTTAAAGTTAGGCCCCTGGGAGGGCTTATTGGTAGTCAATTGGGAGAGGAGGGGCTTATTGGTAGTCAACTGGGAGAGGAGGGGCTTATTGGTAGTCAACTGGGAGGGGAGGGGCTTAGTTTTAGGGTGTCTTGCTCTTTGCAACATCTCTGAACCACTATCTGAAGCAGCTCCATTTCCAAGACTCCCCAGTCGTCATAGAGTTTCTCCAAACTGGTCTCAATGGAGCATCGAGTCCAGACGGGTGTTGTGTTCTAAATATGAAGAAACTCCGGAAGGACAGAAGACATCTTGTAATGAAAGTTAAAATCAAATTATTTATTTAATAAAAGAAAGGATGTTGTGCTAAAAAGAACATCTCAGCTGAGGAGCCGCTGCCCACAGGGCCCATTGACCCCCCACAGTGCCTCCACCAGCGAACCAGAACAATGGGCGCCTACAGGTGTCCACGCCCATGGGAGTGGTCTCCTCGAATGTCTCTCAGTCAACATCAGTTGTGGTAACAAGTAATCCATGCATGCATTTCGGTTGGTTACATTATATTAAATACAATCGTAGCTCTACATTCGTATTATTCTATTGAAGAATTACAGTGGTTTTATAATAATCTTGTTACTTTATTGATAGTTCAGAATCATGGTGTATCATATTCTGGTGTACACTAAATGCATTTTATTAATTGTTAATTTATGAACCGAGTCGTCAGTTTATTTCTAATAATCTACACGGGCCAGATTAAAAAAAATGTGTGCAATCCTGCCAAGCCGGTCCAGACCAGTTCAGATGAGCGGAGTCCAGCGCAGCGTGCCGATGGAGATGAGGGTCTGGCAGGTGTCAGAGTCCAGCCACACGGACTCCACCAGGCTGAAGTGCAGGAGGCCCAGAGCGAAGCCACAGCTGACGTCCGACAGGTGGTGTTTACCCAACAGCACCCGCGACATGCCCGCCAGGACGGCCCACAGGTAGAGCAGGATCCTGAGGGGTACCTGGTGGATGGGAAGACTGGTTCAACACGCAGGAGTCCAGTTTGATGGATCTGGTCCAGACTAACACCGAGTCATCAGCTAAATAAAGTGTGTTAAAGGTGTGATTTTGAATAATCAACATAGATACTGAGAGCAGCTCTCTCTCACATCGTTGTTAGTGACGTCCAAAAGCAGAGAGACAGACAGGTAACATGTTAGCAGAGAGAGACAGACAGGTAACGTGTTAGCAGAGAGAGAGACAGACAGGTAACGTGTTAGCAGAGAGAGACAGACATGTAACGTGTTAGCAGAGAGAGACAGACAGGACATATGTGTCGACCAATCACTGCTCTAAATTGATGATGACACAGACCGCCAGCACCAGGTGAGTCAACAGGAAGTTGGACACCATGACGGCCCGGCTGGCGTGGCCTGCTGGGAAAGAATACGTATCCATGGCAACGTGGTCCAGGAACCCAGGCGGGAAGTCCCAGGGTCCTCGGCGCTTCACCAACTTCTGCACGCCGGCAATGGTCATCAGGTCAAGAGTCAGAGCTGAGTTAGAGAGACGGGTATTGGGGAGAGACAGAGAGAGAGACAGGTGGTAAAGAGAAACAGTATAGAGAGAGACAGGTAACACATCTGACAGACAGGCAGATAGACGGGTGATTACCCAGCAGCAGGTTCACCAGGACCTCTTGTTCTGCCAGCGTGTCGCTCCTCCACAGGCAGACCAGCACCCCACAGAACCAGGTGAGGGCGTGTCCACTGAGGGACAGCAGGACCACCATGGACCTCATCGGAGCCCCGGACCCCAGAGTCCCCACGCAGACCCCCAGACGCTTAGACAGGCTAATGTCGATGGCCAGCAGGGAGCTGATGGCAATGCCCCCAAGCGACGGGTTTAGCTGCATACAGTCCTCCTTTGCCTCCCCGTCAGTAGCCGGGACCCCCTCTGAGGAGTCCCTGGGACCCCTGAGGACACCCCCACGGGAACAGATTGTGAGACTAGGCACACAGGACCAAGATA